TTATATCAGCGGAGTTTGTATCGAACACCAGAGTCGGTGATATCCCTAGTAGCGACATTATCCCGCGCATAGTCGATAGTTATTGTAAGTCTAACACGAACCCAATGCGAGAGCCAATCACTGTAATCAGATTGACTCCTTCTGGCCGAACAAGCTCTTTGCTTTGATGAAGAATACAATCCCGAGCCTATACAAACGTCCTGGGCAAGGTGTCCAGGACGGTGACGTCATTAGCAGCTAATGATAATACGGGCTGTATTGCCAGAATAGTTCCTTGCTCAAGTACCCAATGAACAGCATATGAACGAATAGGCTAGAAATCGACACTCTCCCGAATGGGGACCACCTGTCGAGGGATGCATGGTTATTCAAAACTCGACGCTTATAATATCAGTAATTCCAGATCTTCCTCACACATTTTGCCCTTCAAAGTTCCCCATAGGGCGAACTTCCAAGGATGATGTGGCACGCCGATCGTCCGAAGAGCAGACGATGGTCAAACTATATTCGATTCGCGCGGTCGTTGACCATGTAGAGGGAACCTGAGAACAACAACGGGTGAAGAACAGACGAACCGGCTCCCAATCGCTGTTAGTGCACGCCATTGAGATGCATCTTCAACAAGAAGAACAATTCTCACAGAGTTTGAATCATACCTGTGTCAGGAAGACGTCACCTACAACACGAACGGCTCACCACAACATAGCAGCCAGAACTGGGCACTCTGTTCGCGTGGAAGTAAACGTGACGATTCTTCCTCAATGACGACATCCCTCCTTGCCGATGAATTCTATCTTTCTGGAAGCCTTCAAGGCTTAGCTTGGGCGAGTCTAGTCGCATTAAACATACGAATAGCTGAGAGTACAGTGTGTGAATAGAATTGTGTACAGATGCTTTAGAATGGAAAATTATCTATTCGGGATAGGGCCGACCATTTCAGACCAAATCTCAGCAAGAACTCTCGAGAAGCACTTGTGCGCAACCTTACTCACTTCTTCTATATCAGCCTTGACGCAGTTCTCTGCTGTTGCTTGGGAGAGTAGGACAAATATGTCCGCAGTGACGCTACTGCTTGCAGTGAAGTTTACGATAAACATTGGATTTCTGCTCCACGATTCGACAGTGCCTATCGAAGCCAAGTCGCGAGGATGGCGATGTCGACGACCTCTTTCCCACCAGGAATTGGTTGCCGTATAGGAATTGGCGTTCCTCCACAAGTGTCACAGGTGAATCGACCGCGGAATGTCCATCGGCTGGCACTCGGTGGAATGTTGCGGAGAGTGATGATCGAGTTGAATGCTCCGCTGAAGGTATGCAAATCGATCTCCACTAGAGATTCGGGACTCTCTTGGAATGGACAGCGAAGAGCAACCCGCTGCTGATCGATATGCTCGACGAAGTTGATTTGATCGTCGTTCACACCCTGAGCGTCTTGGTCGGACATATATGTGCACGCGAGCACTACGGTATTTTCCGTCGCGACGCTTTCATTGACACGATCTTGCCAGTTCCCACCAGCGACTTCCATTCGCTCCACCCAATAGGAGTCAGATAAATCACGGAGAATATCGTCAGTCAAGCTCAGTCGCACAAGTCGCTTGTCCCCAATAAGGGCGACTAGAGCCTGTTCACACAGAGCCGGCCAGAGAAAGGCGCCCTCGTGGCACCGTGTGCCTCGAGGCTCTCCATCGACTAAGGGTATGTGCAGCCCTGGGAGTACGGCGAACTTGCCAGCCAATCTCAAAATGTGCACACCGTATTGTCTAAGTTCCGGGTCCCAGCCTTCGAGAGGGAAGAGAATCTCAGGGAAGGTCGGCAAGGTCTGGAGCACAGCCAGGGCGTTAGCAAGAGACACTCCAATAGAGTCACTCGGAAGCAGCGTTGACTTTCCCTCAGGGAGGAGATCGAAATTTCCCATCTCTTGACGCGGGAAATTCTGATGCTTCACCAGACCAGCCTTGTCCTGTACTCTTAAAGGCCCTTGTCTCGCCACTATGATGGAAACCAGAGCATAGGCGTAGCATAGAGCAGAGTCGATGTCCTCGTGGAAGACCGCGAGTGGAAGAGGCTCTTCGATGTTTATCGGTCGAGGCGTCGGAGGAGTCTTCGACCTCCTTTGAAAAGAGTCAGCAAGCCAGTCACTTCGAGCTCGGGGAAGTGGTATATAAGATCTGAAGGTGGATGCCTAGCCAGAATGTCCCTGTCGATGGTGCAGAGTTACCTTGAAGGCTTGTTTGAAGAGAAAATAGGGGAACCTTCCACGGAAGTCGTCGAGGCTGTGCCCGAGGATTCGTCGACCATCTTGGTTGCCAGGTTCGAGGTTGGAAAGAGAGCCTAGCATATATACGGTGAAAGACAGCGCAGACAGCTGCGCTCTGGCTTGCGTTTGGATTCTCTGTATTCCCTCGTATCTTTTGGAACATGCTCAGCACAAACTTTGAGAAGAGTTCTTCGTCCATATCGCTCGTGACAGGGTCACAATATTGCCGCCAAATATCGTGCCTGTTTGCCCACTCTTTAGACGGACGATGCCGAGCTCCTCGAGAGTCTCGAGTCGAGACTTACACTTGATTGAAACTAATGTGCGTCTCTCCAACAGCTCTCAAGAGGTTTTCGATAATACTTGATACCTATTGATGATAGAGTTTTGGTAAACGTCTTAGCTTCTTCCTACTTGCGGGAAGCAAACCCTTTTGAGATGAGCATTGGGTCGGTCTTCGATTGCCAATCTGCAACATTTATCAAACGCCCGTTGAACGATTGTGTTGAGGAGAGCCTCGTCGCGGAAGACCTGTTCCAACTGTTGAACCAACGGATTCGTCATCTGGCTGAGCGCCGTAAAAGACAAATACAACCGAGAAAGCCTTCTGAGGATACACTCAACGCTCTCGATGATCGGTAAGGATCTCAGCTTCACCTCATTACGAGAAGGTAATTATTCCTTCAGAAAGCGTGGCTGGGCGGACGAAAGCACGTTCGATACAAAGAAGCATTGCTGAGCCTCTTATGCATGAAACCGCCAGATTTTGCCCAAACCGGAATTAAGATTGTTTTTGAGAATCTCGAGATGAGTTTTTCGAGCCATGAAATTCTCGAGCTTTTCGAGCCCTTCCTGAAGGAGCTATTAGTTCAGGAAGCCTCTCGTGAGTTTTTTATGTGCTCCCACTTGTTCCGAAAAGACTGAACCCTTCCTGAGGGGCGCATCGCTGGAATTTCTACGGTACCACACCGTTCTCTGGACACTGTAATCTGGGGATGATATTCTCCATTACAGCGCTTTGACAGGCAAAGAGCGAGCTCGGCCGGGAACGTCTCGATCTGACTATAGTGATTGACCCTCTTTTTGTTCGTATTATGTTCATGCAAGTATTGACTATTCGACGTGTCCTTTAATCGTGAGGGGGTATTGGCAGTGAGTTTGGGATGAGCCAAAGAGAATATTAGGGAAATAATTGATGCGCACAAGCGCTCAGAAGGTGGAGTGAGCCTGGTGTAAATATTTCCCACACATCAACTTTTCTTCAACATAAAAGTCTGTGGTATTCGCGGATTGCATTCGTAGACTACGAAACCAAGTATTGCCGTAGCAGTCAGCACGCAGCATGCTTGATAAGTAGGATATGGGCAAACACGCCGCATATATGGTGTTGCACTGATGAGGGTATCATGACACCACACCACCGGTGAAGGGTAGTGGGCAGCCCCTATTACACACGCAAGGCTCATTGAATGACCAGCAAAGGATCGAATAAGAGCTGAGTAGGCTCAACGTATGTGGGTAAGCTCCTAAGCAACTGGTCGGAAGGGATAGTTAAAAAAAGTGAAATATGGTGATACTGTTGTTCAAATTGTTAAAGGGAGAACAATAGCGATCATAACGTCTCCGACGGGTTGAAGACAGATGAGGTCAATCCAGGAGAGTCTCATCGGTGGTTCTGACATAAATGGAACAATAGAGACGGATTGTACAAGTTCCGCTCACCCTTAGGGTCCACACACACAGCGGTCACTGAAGCATGACTTGGGGCAAGCAAGGCACTCAGGGCATATTCTGCCTACCGATGGCCTCAAGGCGTCCCCACCTGGACCATCTTCCATCCCCGTCTTCAGGGCGGGAATAGTGACAGCGAGTGAAATGCAGATGAATGCGAAGATGTGGTTCATGATGTTGTGGGAAGAGAGCGTTTAGTGACAATCGATATCACTCAAGACTTGTGTCACCGACGCTAAGTGACGCCATGCAAGCCGATCCGTGAGAACGCTACTTCTCACGTCAAGGGAGGGGAAGTACTACATGACATGTTCTCATATTTCTAAAGGACGCTACTAGTGTGGTTTGGGTTTACTGCACCAAGCCATCGGAAGTGCCCCTCCATTGCAGGCAGTCTCTTTTTCGGCAAACATGACATCGATCGCTCCGCTGATGCGCGGCGTGACGCCGACAGATGAGATCACGTGATTTTCGGTTTCGTGATTCGCGGTCACATGTTCTGTAACACAACCTGTGTCGCGAAACACATGCGTGAATCCAGTGTGAAGTTCGCTCTGGGAACTTACGCATGGGCGGCGCAGCACACATGCGTGGATGAAGCTTGAATCTCTGGATGTGCGCATGCGTTTACGGCGTAGAATAGTCGTCGCATGAACAGCTCGCAGCCTTCAAGCTGGAATGCATGAGGAGTGGAGCTTGAATACCCATCATGCCCATCCCTAGTGTTGCTGAGTCAACCAGTGCTGATGTGACTACTAGCAACGCCGTAAACCCCATAAGGATTCACGTTCTCTAGGACCTTAAGCCAAGGTCCTTGGTAGAAAGAGAGCGAACTTATACGAGCCATCAATGATGAAGCTCATCAGATGAACTCCATCTCTGCCGCAGAAATCAAAGGAGAAATAACTTTGTACGCGGTGCAAGCCCCAGGGTTAATTTGGAGATATATACAGGAGTTTAGGAGGTTCTCGGCGAGAACTTCTCGCTGATCATATAACATCCGTATAAAGCTGATACGGTGTCGAGCTTTACCAGCGCGGATTTAGCAGGGCACAATTTGCAAAGGTTTATGTACTGAGTCCGACTGGTCAATTACAAATGCCACGCGTCTAGACATCGGTCAAAATGGAACCAGGGAAGGCCCTTCCCGGAAGGGCCATGTGAGGAAGACGCTTCGGGACATCCCGAACGTCGACGAAAGCATCGGCGGAGGTGACTGATACGATAGTCTTGCTGTCATAAACGTTTGTGGAGGTCGATGCGGCTATGAGCGGAACAAAGGAGAGGAGCTTCATCGCGTCGAATAGAGAAACAAGAAACTAAAAAACACTTATCGTCACAGTCTCCATGGAAAGAACTTAGGATTTAGGAGACTGCAGCGTAGATATGTCGGTTGAGCTTCACGTCTCGTCCCTGAGAGGCATCGCGTCTCAGATCTTCCTTCGCGCCCTAGAACACTGCAATGAACCACCTTACCGTTGTATCAATCGATGGGCCCTGAACAATGACGACTTCTATGCAGCTCTTCAATTCCCGGTTCCACTGATAAACACTCCACACGGACCATGGCGTTGAGTTACGGTGGTTCCACCAACTGGGCAAGGTTGCCACGATTCACCAGGCGTCCCGTCTCCGGAAAAGGCCGCAGTATGGCGTCTCTTCTCCGCGTGAGGC